TGGCACAGTATTTAGTATTTTATGGGTACAAGGAATGTGGTATAGGTATGCATTGTATACAGCAGGCACAGATTTTGACTCCCACTGACCAGCCAAAGAACCTATTCCTCTGTTATTTTCCAGGGTGCTTCAGGTCTTTCTTGATCCCAGTCTTGCTCACATTTTGTCATCCTGTTTTGACTTTTTAATTGTAAAGCCAGTCAGATTACTCGTTATGAGTATTATTAATATTGTCAATGTTTACATATTGTTTATACTGTTTAGCGGCTGAGTTGGCCTTTAAAGAACATATTATATGTCCTGGGCACTGCTGACCCCTATACACTCCCCTGCTGACTGATCGTCCTCTGCCCTGCTGACCCTCTGTACAATGGTCTACAAACTGCTGACTCCTGCAATACACTACCATAATGACCCCTGTCCTCCACCCTGCTGACCACCCATCCTCTGCCCTGCTGACCCCCTGTACACTGCCCTCCAAACTGGAGATCCAAGCCCTTTGCTCTGCTAATTCCTGTCCTCTGCCATGCTGACCCCCAGTCCACTCCGCTACTAATTCCTGTTTCTGTGCACTAACCCTGCCTCCTATCCTCTGCCCCCCTGACATTTTTACTGCACCCCAATATCAGACTGGCTAGATCCAGCCCTGTGTGTACGTTGGGGCAATGCACATTTTAATGCACGTTTCTGCAATGCATGGCAATAATCCTGCTCTATGTGTGGTGTATTGTGGTGACAATGTCCAGAAGGTGGAAGGATCAATAGGTTATAAAACTATGGTAGCTTAATTGAGCAAGATGAAGTTAAAGCTGATTTTACCATACACAGTTGCACCACATTCTTTGTGCACCAGTTTTAGTATATCTCCCCATTGACGCATACTGTATATGTAATTTGTGATTTTTTGTTACACTGTAGTGCAAATACTGCACCTAAAGTGGAGCACCAGTCAAAATATACAAAACAAAAAAAAAACATTCACCTATCCCTTTGATCCCACGGTGTCCTCATCGCAGCCGGTTTCCCCGCAGTCCTCTCACCCTGGAGACAACATCTTTAGTGTGGGCACTTGGCTGTGACAGCCGGGTGCATATGCGCAAGTAGCGTTACACTTTCTGAATGGTCCTGTAGTCTTCTGGGACCTGTCACGTGTCCCAAAAGACTACGGAAGTGGGAGCAGAAGTGGGATCAGGAATCTGTCAAAATTGGATGAAGGCTTAAAGCAGAACATCCCCTTTTGGGTGAAGCTCTGCTTTAATGTATAGAATTTAACATCTGTTTGCATGAGCTCTTAGTATTATTGACAATGAGTTAAAATCAGTTTCTAGGAAACTGTGCACAATGAAGGGCAATATGCCTAATTATATTCCACTTTAAAAGCACTTAGTGAAAATTGCAGGACTACTAGAATGACCAGTAACAGATACCTACAAAATTTAAGCAGAAACAAGGCAAATTATAAATTAATTGCAATGAAAATACAGTGATTAAAAATATAAAGATTAGAAAGTTGAAATATATTATATTTAAGATCAGGATACATTTTGTAATGGATTCTTGTTTTTATTTGTATTCACTATTCTTACTTTTATATGTCTATTTTTTTTTACTGCAACCTAATTATGATCAGTCATTGATATACCATTTTATGTACTTAAACTGTTATAATCAAGAAGTGAATTAGTATAAATTAATATGACATCATCTCAGCAAATAATTATTTCAAATCTGTGTTTGCATTTTTCAAAACAGTTTCCAGGTGAGTGTTCTTTTTTTTTCAGCTTCCATCAACACAGAAATGGTAAACGCCCAGTGGAAAATCCCAGTTCACTACAAATTTGCAAAGTAGGGTTGAATGCGTTTCTGCTTGTTAGTTAAATCAAACTACCGTGTCTTGCTATGTTTGATACTGTACTGGTAAAAAGCATTGCACAAAGCACAGTATATCACTCTTTTAGGCATAGACTCCTACTATCTGATCTGTAAAGTGTTAGTTCATGTGAAGACCATTCTGAAAGCAAAACACCAGTGCTAGTACAGTAAGGGCTCGTTTTAACACACATTAAGGCCCCTATCACACAGGTGGTAAGATTTCAGCTTTTAGCTGTGATTTGAGGAACTTATTTACCACAGCTAAATGCAGACAATACATCCCTATGGCTCCATTCACAGACTAGGTTTAGCAGCATTTTTATAACATATGGTTTTATGCGTTTAGGAAAAATAAACGTCTAGAAGAGATGTACCGCAGCTATCTGTACATATACGCAGTTAATCGCAGCACAAAGAAAAAAATTAGTAAACAGTTGCTATAGGAAAGGCAAGAATTTACTACTGTAGCTAAATACAGCTACATGTAAACGCAAGTAATCGCAGATAAATGCAGTACAAACATGAGTGATCTCTGTGCCAGGCATGATGGAATTTCAAAATGAAAAAAAATGAATTTACAAGTGGCAGAACAACCGCCCATGTGAAAGAAAGTGCCTACTGCTTCAACATGCATTTTTTATGTGTTTTTTTCTGCAATGCTTTTTTTTGAAGCTTTAAAGAGGACTGGCAAATACCTTGTGTGTGTTGATTTTCAATTTGTTTTAAAGAGACTCAGTAGAACCCCGGCTCAGTAGTACCCCAGCTCAGTAATACCCCCACTCAGCAGATCCCCAACCCATTAGTACCTCCATTCCGTAGATCCCCAGCTCAGTAGTACCCCCAGTTTGCTGATCCCCCACTCAGTAGTAACCTCAGCTCTACCTTTCCCTTGGTTTGCTGATTGTCCTCTCCCTCTGGTCCCCTCTCACCTCCCGGTATATTGCTCCCATGCTGCTTGCCATGTGTGACATTTGCTAATTTCTCCCTCTACAGTCCCCTAGCTCTACTAACCCTCAGTCGCTTATTCCTCTCTTTCCAGTCCCCACTCACCTTCCACTAGAGTTCCCATGTTGTGCACCACATATACCATCTGCTAGTTACTCTGCTCTGGTCTGGAACCTGCTCATATTCCTCTTGTTCCACGCTGTACATCAGACGTGATGTGATCTGTAGCAGACACTCCGGGTATATACTATATACACATGAACTGGAAGTGATTGCTCATGATGCCTTTCCGATTCGCTTCTTAGTTTCCCAGTGCATCCTGGGATATCTCTTACCTCTAATATCTCCAAAACAAAGCGACGTTAACTCTGAATAAATGCCCCTCAAATGTTGCAGGGGCTATAGGCGAGCATTGTGATTGACTTCTATGGAAGACGTTTTGAAGCACCAAGAGATGGGTAGAATTTTTGAAGCGAAGCAAAATAGAGCAAACACAACAGTGTGAACAGGATTGTAAGGTAAATGATGATAAAAATTGTGCACTGCCCAATGATTCAAACAACAGGGAAATATTGCGTGTGCTCATCACATAAACAGTAAATACAAAGCCAATGTGTAGCGTTGCGCTGCTTAAAGACATCCACTCTAGTGAAAACTAAAACATAACATAAACATGAATAAGTCCAAAAAACATAAACAGTAAAGGTAGAAATAATAGTCCCAAGTGAGTCTCTTCAGAAATATTGGTGGGAAGCATATTCCTACTGGTAAGTAAGCCCACTTTCCCGGCGATTGTAAGGTAACCATACTGTTTAGTGAGAGGGGCTTTGATTACCATTCAGGGTGCTTTAAAAAAAAGCATGTCCAATGCCACATTTTGAAACAAATGTATACAAGCCCTAATAAAAGTTAAATGAAATGCTCACACTCTAATCTCGGCAATACTGTGTCTTTAGTTTTGATGGTTTTCATGGGGCATAAGACAGAGGAAAAATTACTGAGAGCTCCATGTACTTGTCAGTTTTAATTTACCACTGCTTCTGCTGCCTTGCGTAATGGAAGATTTACAGAAAATCAGATCAGTACTTCTAGCAAGCAGATATCAAAGTACAGTGAAAGAAAAATCCAGTAACACATAATTACAAATTGCTGATGATTAAAGGGCAGCATACATTCCACAATTCATTTATGCAGGTTATATCGGAATTCTTGTGCAGGAGTGAAGGAAATCAGAATCATGGCCATGGGAATGCTTTTCCTGCCAGTAATTTCATCCTTCCTGCCCTTTTGAATAAGATAATTATCTCTTTATACCCTTTGATGGTTTGGGGATGGTTTTAGTTTTTAGGGAATTTTTTTATACTATTTTTAAACTTGTGTTTTTAAATGATGTTTTATATTTGTTTTATTTCAAGTAAATCTTTAACCCCGTGATAAAAGGTTTCAGAGAACACTTTGGAGTTGATAAAAAATTGCCTGTAGACTCTATTTATATGACTGAAACCATGGATGGAGCCATCTGAAATGCGTCACTGCACTGATGTATCCATTTGTGTGTGTGAATTGCAGCTTGTGATATTAAGCTCTGTAAACACTAAAGATAAATGGAGCCAAAAATGCCACCAACTGGCTAACAATATAAATATTATACAATATTTTATTGTTATTGTTTTAGAGTTCCTATAACCACTTGCCTACAGGGCACTTATACCCCCTTCCTGCCCAGGCCAATTTCCAGCTTTCAGCTTTGAATGACAATTGCGCGGTCATGCAACACTGTACCCATATGAAACTTTTATCATTTTTTTGTGACAGATAGAGCTTTATTTTGGTGGTATTTAATCACCTCTGGAAAAAACCACTGAAAATTTTGAAAAAAAAAGTTTTTTCTTAGTTTTTGTTATAAAATTTTGTAATTAAGTGATTTTTCTCCTTCACTGATGTTCGCTAATGAGGCTGTAGTGATGGGCACTGATAGGCTGCACTGATGGACATTGACAGGTGGCACTGATGGGCACTGATGAGGAGGCACTGGTAGATGGCACTGATGGGCATTGACAGGCATCACTGATGGGCACTGAAAGGCCGCACTCATATATGGCATTGATAGGCGGCACTGATAGGTGGCACTGCCTGGCGCTGAGAGGCGGCACTGACTGGCACTGTTAGCTGGCACTGACTGGCACTGTTAGGCAGAATTGATATGCAGCACTGACGGGAACTGATAGGCGGCACTGATGCACACTGATAGGCGGCACTGACTGGCACTGATAGGTGGCACTGACTGGCACTGATATATGGCACTGATTGGCAGCACTATATGGCATTGACTGGCATTGATAGGTGGCACTGACTGGCACTAATGGGTGACACTGAAAGACAGCTCAGATGGACACTGATATGTGGCTATGATGTGCACTGGTAGGCACTGATATGTGGCACTGATGGGCACTGGCAGGTGGCATGGATGAGCACTGACAGCTGGCAGTAATGTCAGTACAGGTGGCACTGCTGGGGCTACACAGATCATCAGGGCACACTGATCATCAGTGTCCTGATGATCAGTGTACATGTCCCCTCCGAGGAATGCCGATTACCAGCTCTCCTCTCCTCTCGAGCTGTCAGCGTGACAGCTCGTGAGGAGAGAAATGCCGATAACCGGCATTTCCCTGTTTACATGTGATCAGCTGTGATTGGACACAGATGATCACATGACCGAGCCGACATCTTCGGCTCTTTCCGTTGATCGGTGATCCGCTGGGTCCGAGGGACACAGCGCACTGCTGTTCGCTGCGCTGCGCGCTCCCGGAGCCACGCTTGTGTGGTTAGAATGGGACGACGTCATATGACGTCGTCCCATACGAGAGAACCACCTTGCACCGTCATTGAACTATATGGCGGGCAGCAGGTGGTTAAAATGAAAGAAAAGAAGACAGAGAATACATGCAAAAAAATCACCATATACAACGTGTACTATATTAATGTACTATATTGCAGCTTATCAATTCTTAGTTATGTTGGCTGCCTTGTTTTTTTTTTTCATTTTTTTCTGCTTTTTTTTATTCATTTTCACCTGGTAATCTGGTCAGTAAGGCAAACCATAGAATATGCATTGATGCAATCTTTTTTCCTTCAACTACAGTCAGTGTTAATGGGGAAATCCCTTCCGCTATGCTATTGTATTCTGACAGTGGGAGGTTTCCCTGTCCTCAGAATGCAATGATCACTGTTGCTAGCTATAGCCAGCAGCAGTGATCTTCCAAAAAAACCTGACAGGCTGGTTGTACTGAACAAGATTGATAGGTGGACTTCAGTACAACCGGTCTATCCACAGATGGATCACAATTCGGCCATTTCAGCAGCAATTTTGATCCGTCTATGGCTGATCTAAGTCTGTTATCTTTTTCAACTTTCATTAACAGACCAATCTGTCCAGTAAGAATGGTAGTTTGAGGGTTGGGACCAACCATTTAACAGGGGTCTTACAATGGTCAGCGTTTATTTATTTGTGTAAAACCTTTATCTCAAAAGGAAAAAAAAAAACTTTGCTCTGACTGTCTAAAAAGTATTAGCCAGAGTTTGGCTTTCATTTGTTAGTCATGTCCATCTAAGTCTGCCAGTACATCTAACACTACCCTCTCCCTAGTTTGAGAAGTCCAAAGGTGTCTTCATTGCTCCTTCATCCAAAGTAGACACCCAAAGAGGAGAAGTGAGTTACCAGATGGAACACCAGGTAAAACTGAAGGAAATAAGTCTACATCTAAGGATCAGTAAGCTGCACTAAACTATATTTTTGTTTTTCAGTTTAATACTGCTTTAACGGACTGTATAGTCAGTTTGTGACATGTATAATTGTGCTCAAAGGTTTGCATACCCTTGGAGAATTGTTAATATATACAGTGTGTACCATTTTTTAAAGAAAACATGAGTGATCAATCAAAACACATTTCTTTTCTTTCTTATGGGATCCATATTAAACTGTAGGTCATAACAGAATGACACAATCATAAAAAAAAAACATGGCAACAAGTAAACAAATGAATTGATCCCAGTTCAAAAGTCTGCATATCCTTAGCTCTTAATATTGTGTATTGACCCCTTTAGCATCAATGACAGCGTGAAGTCTTTTGTAATAGTTGTCTATGAGGCCCCAAATTCTTGCAAGTAGTATAGCTGCCAATTCATCTTGGCAAAATGCCTCCAGGCAACACAAAGTCTTTGGTCATCTTGCATGGACCACATATTTGAGATCCTCCCAGAGTGGCTCAATGATATTAAGGTCAGGAGACTGTGATGGCCACTCCAGAATATTTTCCTTTTTCTGCTGTAACCATTGGAGGGTCAACGTGACCTTGTGCTTAAGGTCACTGTTGTGCTGGGACATCCAAGTGCATCCCATGCACAGCTTTTGTGAAGAAGAATGCAAATTATTTGCCAGTATTTTCTGATAACATGCTGCATTTATCTTGCCATCAATTTTCACAAGATTATATTCCTTTAGAGCTCACATATCCCCAAAACATCAGTGAGCCACCACCATGCTTCACAGTGGGGGTGGTATTCTTGACGCTAGAAGCTTTGTTGACCCCTTTCCAAACATAGTGTTTAATGGCTGTGATCATACAGCTCTATTTTGGTCACCAGGTATTCCAGTGTACAGTGTGCCAGAAGCTGTGGGTCTTGTCAAGATGTTGTTGGGCATATTGTAACCAGGCTTTTTTGTGGCATTGGCACAGTGAAGGCTTTTTTTTCTGGTAATTCAACCATGCAGCTCATTTTTATTCAAGGATCGTCATATTGTGCTCCTTGAAACAACCACAACCTTTTACCAGAGCAGCCTGCATTTCTCCTGAGGTTACCTGTGGGGTTTTCTTTGTATTCCAAACAATTCTTCTGGCAGTTGTGGCTGCAATCGTTCTTGGTCTACCTGACCATGGCTTGGTATTAAGAGATCTTCAAAATTCCACTTCTTAAAAGATGATTAAACAGTACTGACTGGCATATTCAAGGCTTTGGGTATCTCTTTATATCCATTTCCATCTTTATAAATTTCCATTACCGTATTATTTGGTCTTTTGATGGTTCTTCTCTGCTCAGCATGGCTCAGTATCTAGCCTGCTCAGTGAATCCACGTAAGAGCTAATTGTAAATTAAAAAGCCACGGATGTAGGAAATTAACCTTTATTTGCCTTTTTAACCCGTGTGTCACGTTATGTGTCTGTACCAAGGCCAAACATTTTCAGGGTATGTAAACTTTTGATCAGGATCCTTTGGGTGATTTCTGTTATCATTATAAATACTGTATATAAGAAATTATGATTTAACCACTAGCTGACCAGCCACTGTAGAAATATGGCGGCAGGTCGGCACGGCTGCGCAAAACCACGTTTTAAAATGTGCTTTTGCAAAACAGGTAGGGGGCACACGTGAGGCGCGCCACCGCCCTACCTGTCCCGCCGATCATGGCTGTGGATGTCAGTCGCCAGGTCACGGCCGGTCGTTACCGGCTGTGTCCCGCCGATTAGCGGCAATCACTGACAGAGAGCAGGGCTGAAGTAGCTCTGCTTTCTGTCAGTTCCCTGTCAGCTCCTGACATGCTGAGCTGGAGAGAAGAGTTATATCTCTCCGGATCAGCAGTTTCTCGTGCAGAACACACCCCTGCCCCCTAGTAAAACACTCCCCTCACACATTTAACCCTTTCAGTAAATAAAAACGTTAACCCCTTCCTCCCAAGTGCCATTAGTACAGTGTCAGTGTTTTTTTTTTTCACTAATCACTGTATTGGTGTCACTGGGGATGTCAGTGACCCCAAGTCAGTTCCCCCCAGTGTCAGAATGTCTGCCCCAGTCCCGCAGTCCCGCTATAAGTCGCTGATCGCCGCCATAAGTCGCTGATCGCCGCCATTATTCTTATTAAAAAAAATTAAAAATCACAGTATCTTTCCCGCCATTTGTAAACGCTATAACTTTTACGTAAACCAATTAATTTACACGTATTGGGGTTTTTTTTTTAGCAAAGACATGTCACAGAATGCATTTTGGCTGAAATTTATGACGAAATTTGATTTTTACATTTTTTTTACTGGACATGTTTTATAGCAAAAAGTCCAAAATATTGTTTTTTTTTTCTTTCAAAATTGTCAACCTTTTTTTTTTCATAGCGCAAAAAATAAAAAATGCACAGGCGATCAAATACCACTGAAAGAAAGCTCTATTTGTGTTAAAAAAAGGACATAAATTTCATTTATGTACCGTATTGCATGACTGCAAAATTGTCCGTTAAACTAGCACAGCGCTGTATAGCAATAAAATGGGGTAAATTGCAGTATCTATACCATAGTTTGTAGATGCTATAACTTTCACACAAAGCAATCAATATACACTTATTGGGATTTTTTTTTTTACCAAAAACATGGAGCAGAATACATTTTGGCCTAAACTTATAACTAACTTTGAGTTTACTATATATTTTTTATAGCTGAAAGTAAAAAATATTGCTTTTCTTCAAAACTTTTGGTCTTTTTTTGTTTATGGCGTGAAAAATAAAAAGCGCACAGGTGATCAAATACCACCAAAAAAAAGCTCTATTTGTGTGAAAAAAAGGACGTAAATTTCGTTTGGGTGCACCATTGCATGACTGCGCAATTATCAGTTGAATTAGTGGAGCGACGAGTAGCAAAAAGAGGCCTGGTCATTAAGGGGGGTAAATCCTATGGAGGGCAAGTGGTTAAAAATGAACCAAACAACTATGTGAAAAATAAATGGCTTCATATGATTACTATCTTTTACCATTTCAAGTCCAGACACTTTCACCCCCTTTCTGTTCAGCCCCAATTTTCAGCTTTCAGTGCTATCACACTTTGAATGACAATTGTGCGGTCATGCAACACTGTACCCATATGAATTTTTTAGCATTTTTTTTAAGACAGATAAAACTTTATTTTGGTGGTATTTATTCACCACTGGGATTTTTTCTTTTTGCTATATAAATGAAAAAGTCCAAACATTTTGAAAAACAAGTGTTTTTCTTATAATAATAATATTAATAATAATAATAATTTTGTACAAAATTTTTTACATTTTTATTTTTTTTATATTATTATTTATGTGGTTTTTTTTTTTACATACTGTCACCCTAGCAGTACAGTGTCACCATAGTGACACTGTACTACTTGTGGGGGGGGTCATGAAGATTTTTATTTTACACTGATTGCTTTTACACCCATAAAATCATTCTTGCAGCCATTGAGAAATACTGTGAAAGCTGTGATTGGTCACAGCTTGTCACATGGTACAAGGCTGTTGTGAATAGCCTTGTACCATGTGACCTTTGTGATCATGCACAGATTTCACACCTAGTAAGCAATGTCAGAAGTGACATTTACTACTATTCATGTGATCGCTGATTGGCCAATCAGTGATCACATGATTGGGACCTCACACAGAGGTCTCGTTTAGTGATCGGTATTCTGCTGTGTCGTCCAGACCCAGCGGGCACCGGACCCAGGGAGCGTGCACAGGCAGTGAATGCGGGGGCCGTTTATAAACGGCCACCCGCTTCGGCACTGCTCCCGTCCAGCCGTTTACGTACATGGGCCGGATGAGAAGTGGTTAAATAAAAGACAGGTTTTTTTTTCAATATTAATGCCAAACTGTCATGATTTCTGCCAGGATATGCAAACTTTTGAGCACAATTGTACAGTCAGCTTTACTGCTCTCATTTTATCTTATGGTCCTATGCGTAAGCAGTAATGTGCATTTTTGTTCATTTAAATGGTTACCTGTGC